TATAAGCATTTAGTGTCAAAGTTATAAATGCCTTTTTTTTTTTTTGGTAACAGAGAGCAACCAGCACTAGTTACTGGTACTAGTAACTAGTTTGATGTTAGGTCAAAAAGTATCAGATGTTACTTCTCCAAATTGCCCTTGCTAAGCATTCTACTAACAAATTCAATTAAGATCTCAGGACTACATTTTTTAAAATGGCTTTTGGCATCCATGAGCTTTTTGGCTGTTTCTAAATGCTGCCGAGCTGGGGTGATATTTGTTTTCTCTTTGTCATGGTGTTTACATGCCCTGGCTTGGGCCTGAGTGAAATGCATTTGATGATATCTTGGTCTCACCCCAGTCCCTAATGGATGTTTGTCTGAATGACAACACCCAGTTTAGCACTGTTAACACTGCAATGAGGGGGGTGGGGAACATGTGTGACATGTGACAGTTGGGGGTATGAATGGCAAAACCTTTTATGACATAATCCTCTCTCATATCCAGTTCTGGAAGCACCTTTTTGTTCTCTCTGTCTTCCGTAGTGCCTTATTTTAGGACCATAAATATTCATTGAATGGGAGACCCTCAAAACTTGATTACTGACCCCTGTGAATATAGTACTGGACTTTCTTTTAGGAGCCCAGATCTCTGACTTGACAAGGACCATGTTAATGATACTTGGATGGTGTCATCCAGGATGAGGATGATGGGCTGCTGCCTGGGTCAATCTCTATGGCATTATGCCAGCATCCCCTCTGTAAGTTTGAGTGTGAGCTTGATTAACATAGCAAGCCACCTTTCAGATATGTCTTCCACTGAGTATTTAGCAAAATGCACACACATTCCTATTTTGTTCACCATTGTCCCAAGCACTGTGTGTGGATGTGTTGGACCCAGTGGGGCCTTTCAGGAAACAGCAGGACAATATGAGGCAGAGCATGACACGTCTTTAGAGGGATGTGCCTGCTCTAACCCAGGCCCACAAGCAGACTGTGGACAGAATGGGGGAGCCATGAATTGAGCGTTGACAGCAGGCCATGGCGGTCTGAAGGCTCAGGTGGTTGTCAGCCATAAGTTTAGCTCAGCTCTTTGAGTAATTTGTCACGCCTCGCTCAGCCCCTGCTGGGCCAGCACGTGCCAGCTTAGTGTCAGAGTGCCTGTTCGCCAGACGGCCACTCAGGCCTAACGTCCTGCTGTTCCCCGGACCAGCGGCTTGCTGGGGCCATGCACGGAGGGCCGAGCTGTGGCGACAGCCAAGTGCTGTGCAGAATAAGCGTGTTCATAATGAGATGTGAATGGCATTAGTGGGTCCCTCTAGAATTGGGCCTGAGCAGGCGCCTCTCACTGAGGAAGTTTGGCAGCCTGTTCATTAAAGCAAGTCACCAGGAGTTCAGCCCACAGAAGAGGGCAGTTCAGGCTCATGCTGCCCACGCCTGCCTGGGGCTGTTGTGACCGTCTATAGAAAAGATCATAAATCATCAGAGGGACCACTTTTGAAAGCCTCATACTCCTTTCCTCATTTTTAAAGTTGCATAGGGCAAGCTTAAAGAGAAATTCTGGCATAAAGCAGGGTGTAACACTCTGTTCCATGATAATGGTCACATCCAATATCTGTGCAACCTGGTACAGTGACCCCTAGCTTCATGTGACTGTTGAATGCTTAAAATACAACTGAGACAGAGAAACTGACTTGTTGTTTTCATATTTTAGTGAGTTAAAATTTAAATTTAGATACCCTGTCTGACTCATAGCTACCAAATCAGACAGCATAGTCCTAGAATGCCTCTGGTCACCTCATGGTGTGAAGTCATCCTCTGAATATACAAAGGAGCAGGAAGAGGAAGAGCCTTCATTTTAGAAATCCAAGTGCATACCTTGTCAAAAGAAAATAGAAAATCATTTGTTGATTTTAAAACACAAACTCTATTGAAAACTAATTTGAAGGGCATAATTGTCCCCAACTTATTTTTATTCAAAGCCATTTTTAAAAGATGGTTTTAAGAAATGCTAGAATCACTTTTCCTCTTGGGAGCTGCAAATAAACTGAGAATGATTCACATTCCCTAAATTCATGAGAATTACTACAATTTTCAAAATGACCAAAACACATCTTTTAATTTTTGCATTGATAATGAGGAAGGGGAAAATGAGACATCATGTTGGCTTCCCCAAGTGTTAATTCATAAAGTCACAAGCACAGCGCCTCCATCCATTGTTAGATTGTTCTGACGTTATCCTGCTATTGGAAGTACATGATTCACCTTCCAAGGAAGCAGAAGCCTCACACAAAAGGGGAAGGTTTGCTTTCTGCCCTGTGAAAGGCTGCCACACGCAGGGGTCCTATTAAGACAGCTGGAAAGTTGCTTCAGCGTGTTACGCTTGTAAGTTTTATTGGTGACTGGTTTTTGATTACACATTTGAATGCTGTGTGTTCCAGACTGCAGTTTTAATTAAAAGGCAATAGTCTTTTTTTTTTCAATTACATTATGTACTGTTTGCTAGATTCTCCTACATATTCATTCTTATTTTCAAATGCTCATAACTTATCTTGGGTAGGGGCTCTGATGCCCCTTCAGTATATCTTCTGGCTTTTTCTCTTCTCAGTAACTTGCATTTTCTTATTTTTTTAAAAGTCTATGCATCATTGTATCATCGTTATTGCTGGTAGTATTAATTTATTATGTCAGCAGGTAAGAAGAATGTTTGATCCACTCAACTAGGAAGTGAACATCAGGATTGTCACATAGTTGTCAGTGGAAGGAGATGTCATTACAATCATTATCTCTTGTTTCTGTTTGTTTAAATCAGCATTAATAGTGCTTTGATGTAATTCTGTAACTGTTGGTTTACATATTTTTTAGTTATGCTCATATTGAATGCACTTGAAGTCTAAGAGACACTTAGGTCTCAAAATCAGAATCTTACTAATTATGACAAATTTTAAGTTTTCTGACAGTGCTAAGGAACTTGCAAGATACCTTTTTTTTACACACAAATGGAACAGTCGCAAAACTATTGAAAACAAAGTGGACTTTCACTGCTATGAGTACCATTTTGCACATGCATTTGTCTCCTTAACCAATTACTGCAGCTATGAAGAGCGAGCTCTGTATCTCGAAGCAATAATTCAGAACCATCGCGAAGTCATGACATTTGAGGATTTCGCAGCTCAAGTCTTTTCTCCCTCTCCCAGCTTCTCCCTCAGTGGAACGGGTGAGTGTCTACATTATTCTCCTCTCATGTGCTTAAAACGCATTCAAGTAACAGATGTACACCTGTTTTTCACAGATAAATGGTTGCAAATTTAAGAAGAGCATTCTCCCTCTGAATCAACTAATGAATATCAAAAGGAATGATGACATTCATTTTAATTTGTTTTGTATCCGAGCTGTTCACTCCATTCCTTTCTTCAGCTATCCTGTTAACCCCCAAATCTAGCAAGGTTAATGAACTTTTTCTCAGTAATGTGCTCTGGTTCATTCAGGAGTGTGGGTTTCTTGCTGAGCTGGGAATATGTTGTTTAAAAGGGATGCCTGAATCACTGCTTACTTATCAAAAAAGAGTTCCTCACAGTCGAAGCCGTTTCTACTAATGCTAAATGAGGATTATACTACTGAGATACTAGGGTCAGGGATTAGTACAGGAGACATGGAAGGACACTGTCCCCAGGCCCATCATTACAGAGTGCAGCATGTGCCCTGTTCTCTGGAGTGGTCAGTGTCATGTGGACAAGCCACCGACCAGAGCAGCACCTGGTGTGGAACTTGTTTAGAAACTGATTTACAATCATTTTCATTCATTACACCAGTGGAAAATTGAAAAAAAAAAAAAATTCCATGGATTTCCTTTTTTTTTTTTTTTTT